AGTACATTTATAATTCACAAGAATATGATGAAGTTTAGTGACATCTGGTTTGAAGCAGTATATGAGAAAAATATATCATAAATTATGGCATACACCAACTGCCAATATATGTTAGCTAATTGATGTATAAAACAACATTATCAATATAAGGCCATTGTTATAGTAATCTAAGGATGAACAGATTGTCATGACATCTGATATTTCTGAGTAACTAGAATCCATTTCATTTTAGGGATCACTGTATTATAAAATTTTCATCAGCATTTCTTTTTGGCAAATTTTAACTCTTGTAATGCCAGGCATTCCAAATGCCTAAAAAAATATTTTCACCTAATTGACAAGTAAGTATTTCAAATTGATTGCAATTGTTTTTATTTAACATTGAAGAATAGACATACATTTCTAGCATCCATTATTCAACCATTTCAAATAATTTAATAAATATTTTTTACACATAAAACAAGAGTTCCATGACTGTGTTGGTGCATAACATGCCCAAAAAATGTGCTATTGTAAGACATAAAATGTTAAAATGTGATAGCACCTAACTAAAAATTTAAACAACCAGAAAAATTTATTGATCATACATGGATTTTTACAAGTGTCAATGTGACCTTAACCTTTCACCTAATGACCTAATATTATACAGGGGTCATCTCCTGACCATGTGCAATATCACTACCAAGTAACAAAGAACTAGGCATATTCCTTCTTGAGGTTATACTGAGCAGACAAGGAGACCAGAAACTGATGTATAATTATTTGGCCTTATTTTTCTTTCAGCAGTAAAATACTTTTAAATAATTATATGTTACACATAATGTGTAAGAATCTTATCTTGTTTTAACAATTTTGAGATGCAGCTTAAATAGTGAAAATTGTAATTTATGGATATGCAGTGCTCTAGATAAGCATTGTCTTATCCTATTTCAGAGAAACGAATTGAACCAAATCAGTAACTGTTTGACTTTGTGTATTTAAAGAGCTAAAAACAAATATCATTGTTATTTTTGTTTTGGTAATTCAATAAGGCAAAATTACTGACATTGTTAAATTCAAATAATTGCTACTGCTGCAAATAATAAAGGTAGGCATGATTTCAGAATGAAATCACATGTTGCGCTGATATAAACACTTGTACATTAAGTTCCATTTCAAACTAAGGCGTTGAGTGTAAAAAGATATGTACATAAATCTAAATAACATTCAATTCAAACCTTCTACAAAGTAGAAATTGCTGAGCCAACAAGCAGAGATACAATGCACCGTTGCAAAAACTTTCTTAGATCTAACAGTGACTGCAAATAATGCAGCTGAACAAAATCCTGAACACTCTTGCAGGTAACCATGTAATCAAGGTAATGGTGCTATTGAAAATTAAGTTTTCATTAAATTCAGGGAACAGACAATTCAGGAGTTTGAAATTTTATCATGCCAATTAATTGTATTCTATTTTGTATCAAGGCTTCTCACTTTCAGTTCCAGCATGATAAAGATTAACCACAGTCAGACTCAAATCCTAAATCCCTGAATGACAAGCAGACTTATTCACTGTAAGGCCAAAACACCTTAGAGATTACCGGTACAATTCTACAGGGAATGAAGGATTTAACCTTAACATCTACATCATTATTAAATATGGAGATGAGTAAACTGAAGATGACCTGATGACCTGTTTACTGACTATAAAAAGTAGAGGTGCAACAATATTGTGATATACAGTATTTTTTGTGATTCAGCGTCAGGCAATTATAACAGAACCCTTGTTCCGCAATATTTCCTTTCATATTTCTCTCTGTTTGATCATACATTTACATAATTAGACTAAATGAGTAAAAAACTTTATGTTGAACTAATCTAAAACAGATGATACCAACTTGAAGTTTTTCTTTAATGTAGCAGCACTAAAAGAACTGAGCCAATAATGTCACACTGTTTTATTTTTTCAGAAAAGTCAACTGTTAATTCACATTGTGTAAAATTCTTATATTAAAATGTGGTTAAAGAGGGTGAGTTTGATTGGATACTAGAAATGGCTAAAGTAAAAGAAAAGTTTGGTACAATTTCATAAGATTTCTAAACATTACTATTATATTATTTGAATTAATTATTAAAGCTTTTCGTAGTTGATAGTGCTTTTACAATTTCTAAAATGAAGAAGTAGTTTTAATATGCTATAGTTTTTATCATAATCAGTGTAGCACAATATCTACATCTATATTTTACTGCTTCAAAATTGTTTACGATTACACAAAGCATGTATACATTGTATACATTGAATTGAATTGAGAGATAGCTAGGAGATACAAGGGAATCCACGAACTGGTCCCTAGCTCTTATTGAATAGACCCCTTGCCCAGTGTAAAGCACTGATACATGCAAGGATTACCTGTACAACTCTAGTTAGGTAATAGGTGGGAAACACTGAAAGTGTCTTTAAAAAATCCCAGGATCGAACTCAGGAGTGATAGTCAGTGCTCTAACCAACTGGGCTATCGCACCACCTAATATGTATTGCAATAGACTATGGGTTGGCCCTTTCGCAATATATCAATAGACTATGGGTTGGCCGTTTCGCAATATATCATTTATATGGTAATTAATGTTTATACCATATACTTGCATCGCTGTAACCAAAATGGTAAGAAGAAATTTGACCAACGAACAAGTTGACACTAAGTGTCAGAAGGACAATCTCCTGGATGAGACACCAGACCTATTTTTATTTCAAAAGTACACGTAAAACTTGTATTATAATCAGTTATAATACATTACAGTAAAGAAAACACACAGACGCTTGGGGTTTGGAGCTCAAAACGCCTTTAAAATCCAAATAAAATGCATATTTGTCAATCCCAGGACATGTACTGATCATATATATCAAAAAATCTTAATATATGCCGTTTTGAAAAAAAATCATATTTCAACATCATTCTATAATAATTATAGATGTTGAAATATGATTTTTTTTCAAAACGGCATATATTAAGATTTTTTGATATATATGATCAGTACATGTCCTGGGATTGACAAATATGCATTTTATTTGGATTTTAAAGGCGTTTTGAGCTCCAAACCCCAAGCGTCTGTGAGAAAACAGTGTTGACTTGCAATCATAATTTCCTTATGAATAATTATCCTATCACACACAGTAAACAAGAAAGTTTCTTTCTAAACCGAAATATTCCATTTTCTTCCTTCATGTTATGGTTAAGGTATATAACACGCGATAAAATCACAAATTTATAAAAATATTCAATTATCCAGACCTGCCACATCCGAAGTACCGCTACGAACCATGTTTAAGCTATCTCGTTCTTTCTCGTGATCTATCGTAACAGAACTTGACATGTCGTGGTTTCAGAGTCTGTTTAGTGTTAGATTACAATCTCTAAGTCTGTTATACATCTTTCTATACCATATTTTATTTCGCCGGATCTGTTGACATTTCCTTCTTGAAATTGTCACAGTTAGTTGTTAAAACGGTGACACCGTTGACAGAGGCCCGACTGCAATATTTTCTTTTTATAGGCCATGTTAATTGGAAAATATTTTCTTTTTCTCTGTGTTTTTAATACTAAAATTTCAATAAAACGGAACTAAAAATAAAACGCCACCGTTAGTACTTATCTTTTAATTCCATATGGGTGTTATATTAGAATTGTAGCTTATTTTATTAAATAATAAACTATATATCTTACAGTCATCCCTAAATATGAAAGTTGCGGTTTATTTAAGTCACGCTCAAGTCTCATAACATGACTTTAAAGATTTATCGTAAATCTGGGATAAACATGTCCTAATTTGTGTAGTTGAGTAATCGTAAAATAAATAAATAAATAAATAAATAATATCGTCCTCGAGGCCCTTGAATTAATATTTATATGCTGCGTTGAAAAAGATATATAGTACTTGTATATCTTGACTTTCGTTTGTTCGCGCATGTTTCAAAGAAAAAAGATAGTTATGTTAAAAGTCCTTTAAAAATGTATTCTAGTGGTCTCCTATATACGATCATCATCATCATCATTATTATCATCACATCACCACCACCACCACCATCATCATCACCATCGCCGTGGTGGTCATCAGCATCATCAACATCAATAGATATTCTGGATATTCTGACGAAATAGGGATTGAAGGTATATAATTATGGTTAAATTCAAGTCATTTTATCTTTGTCTTTTAAATTATGTTAATAATATCAAAATCTACGGCCTTTAACCCATTACGCGATATACACGCCTTTTAACGCCTTTTTCACCCCCCCCCCTTTTTTTGTTGTCTCTCATGGTGAAAAATGCCTTATTTAGGCCCCCAACACTTGTTTCTGTTTGAGAAATGTTGTTTAAAAAAAATTTGGACTTGTGAGAGGCCATAAATGACCCCAGGTTGATCATAAGGTAACGTGTAACCAACGCTGAAAAGCATTTCTCAATCAATTTTAATGGAAAAAATCAACGCAAAATAGTGATTTTTGGCAATTTTGAGATGTTCCCTTGTTGCCATGGTAACAGAAAATTTAAGCCTGAGGGCAATGGTTCAGTCAACATTTGTGCCAAGTTTGATTAGTGTTGAAGCAGTTTTTATAGTATTAGAGCAATTTGAACTGGTAACGGGAGACTTTCCAATGAAAACAGCCATTTTTCACAAAATGCTCATGAAGTAATGGGTTAACATGGTTTACTCGTCCATTGTGATGGATATTTAAAAAAAAAAGAAAAGAAAAAAGAGGAAGCCCTGTACGTGAGATATATTGGCGATTTAGTGTGGAAAATGTCAAATTTATATGACAATTAACTTCAAATATATTCAAAGTTTGGAAAAAAATGTGAAAACATTACAAATCGTTATTTCCGATCACAATTCTTTGCGTTCAATGCAAAAAGGGCGTTTCGTTGATTTTTAGCCACCACAAGCCTTTTCAAAGTAAACTGATAATATTTAAGTACCATCGACAAACCATTTTGATAACGAAATATAGGAGTTCCTCTTACCCTTTATATCACTGGAACACTGGAAGATCCTCTATTCTTCTAGTCTCTTTTATCAGTATGCACTCCAAATTTACCAGGGTCAGTTCGTTGGTAGTTGATAAAATTAACACATTATCAGATCGTATTTAAAATCCGAATGTAATTGTATCTGAATTCTACGAAATTTGGAGTATAAAAAGAAACGCCGTTATCTAAATATGATTCTCCTTTCTGAAAAAGGAAACCTACTGCTTCGCCTCTATTGTCAACAACATTATATAAAACGATGCTTTGACATCAGAGAAATAGCTATAAATATATAAATGTACAAATATGTTCCGGATCGATGCCCTTAATGTAGATTTACTTAAGCGAACCTTTGCCATTAATTTCTAACCATATACGATATTTGTCCATTATAATCGAAATACGTAAATTACTTCTTTCCAAAGGGTAATTATGTTCTCATGCGCTGGACCAATTTACGTCTGTAAATTACATTTAAGGACATAAAAGGTAAAAAGCGTTTTGTAAGAATTGGGGGGTTTGCATTTAAGTAAGTAGCTAAAGACTTGTTTAAGCTCTCTTTTTTAACTTTCGTAAAATAATCGAATATAAATGTAATATAGTATTGAACTAATAATGAACGTTTCGACCTTTGAATGAGCAAAAAGATATAAGTTGACTGGGAAAAATTAAGATATTGCCAAGAACTAAAGAAGAACTTATTTATGGAAGTAGAAGAAAATTTTGTAAATATCGTATGCTCTCAATAGACTCAATAACCCACACGCATTTCCTAACAAGTGGTTTGTAATATAAGTATTTCTTTATGATTGACTCTGTTATGAACTTCTTAGTTTCTTAATTTTAAAGTTTACTTTCGAGGTCTTGTCTATTACATAACGGCTTATAATATATTATATCATTCATAATACTAGGCAAACTCGCGTTTATCTATTCACGTACTTTTCAGTTCCGTCTTGAATTAAGAGTAAGCCCCTGTCATCGCTTAAGACTAACAGTAATATCAAAGAAATTAGAAGTTTGTCAACATAAGAAATGATACTTGTTTAGAGTCAGACTTAAACATAGCAGTTCATTTTAAATGCTATTGATCATTGCATAGAAACCTGGGAACACGAGCGCAAATTGTGGCGCATATCAACTGCTGTTGAAAAATTTCTCATACATAAAAATATCCTTTTCGTATTATCCAAGTTTATGGCCTTAAAGAATGTAATATCAATTTAACACGATCTATTATTTTCAAAACTCGCCATATCTGAAGGTATAATAAAAATCACTTTTTACCTTAAATATTTGACCGATTTTTATAAAAGCAGAATTTATTGAATTGAGTTTTTTTAGAGACCTATCGGATAACAAGAGAAGAATTCTCAAAGGTAGGACAATGTGTAAAACCGGTGCCGAAATACTCGGTTCCCTTCCCAATCATTTTAATCATGTACATGTATAACCAACTTTAACAAGAAAGATTACTCTGTACTAATTATAACTAATCACGTACCTATAATCTCCCTTTAATACCCAACCCAAAATATTTACTTAATATATTAATTTTGAAGGTTTTGTGCCAAATTGTAATCCAGTTATGGGCCAAGAATGGTTTACACTATCAAGATGACTGTGTCCTTGACCTCTGGCCTACCTAGCTCAAATGCTACAGGACTCCTCAACTCAATTTCGGCAATTTTATACTCTTGAGCCATGGAGTTCTTAAGTCCACTTACTGACAGACAGTTTGGCCTCATATTTTCAAATAGGGGCAAAATTAAGTACTTGTATAAAGTACCTGTATACACGGACATGTCCATGCACTATACCTTGATAAGAAAAGATACTTTGTGTATGGATATATTATCCTGAAGTAAAGAAGGGGACTTTTCAAACAAAACAAACATGTAATACTTTACCACTGTTTATTAACAAATCCCGATTTAAGTATTATATTTAAAATCCCATACTTCCTTACTAATTTAGTAAATAGTAAACTACTGCAGTGACAATACATAAGAAAAATAATTTTAGTTGCTATTCAAACATTAGTATAATGTTCATTGCAGCAAGTTATACATTGTATGTATATAAATATACCATGAACTATGCATTTGAAAAAGTTAGTCATTGACAACAGACAAATCTCAATATAAACATGATTTTCATCATAATCAGATATCTATGACTAACCAGAGAAATTCATCTAAAACATTTACATAGAAAAAAAAAATATTTTTATAAGCTTAACTTGATATTTATACATTGTAATTGATTGAAAAACTTATATTTAATATATTGACAATGTATTCATTTTAATTAATGGCTGTTATAGTGGGAAAAAACACCTGAACATGAGATAAAAACTTTCATCAGGGTGTTATACATGCTTGTTTCACACACAATAAAGTAAAGTATGTTTCCTCATTTTCCTTGTTATTATTTCTTACTGACTTTTGAAAATTAAATTCAGGGTGCAAGTTAGAAAGAAATTTGGAAGAAAACTGACCTCTGCCTTCAGACAAAATTTAATAGATATATTTAGGAGTTATAAACTGTTAAGAAGAAATGGGCTTTTAATTGTACTGATACTCTTAAATTGTGAATTGATATTAAACTATTAAAATGCTGGAAATTGATGATATTACTATTGCTATTTTCAATGACAGCCCTTACTTACAGCGATAGAAATTTCATAGAAATTTCAAAAACTACTTGTATATCTATAACAATAGAAACTAAATAATTATATTTATATGTAAAAGACAATCCTCAATACTTTTCTTTAATTTTCAATTTGTAAAAATGTGTTATCAAGTATCATGCAAAAAAAGGTAACATGATTTTCATTATCTTATTACCATAAAGCTCTGGAATCTGTGAGAAAAGATGCATGTACCTTGTAAGAAATCAACACATCTCATCATAATTATGACATCAGATACTATATAAGTTGACATTTTTTACCTCATGTCAAAATTTTGCAAATCACAAATTTAGAAGTTCTAAGGAATCTTGTTCACTTAACAAATCTACACATTGTGAGAAACTATGTCCCTGTAATAATATACGTATTATATACACTACTGATTCAGTATCTAATAACCATGTATGTAATGGCTTTTAAGTTTTATTGTCTTAAACAAATATAACTGTCGCTTTTGCAATAGATGGGAAACCTGTACACACTGTCGGCTAACCAATCTTGCAGTAATCATCACTTTGTGGACACTTATTTCTCCAATATTAGAAACTATAATGTCACACCACATCTTAAGTAGAGGTTATTACATGGGGGCAAGTGTGCCTTTAGTGTGACTTATTTTAATTTGAACCAAGTGTGCCAATATGGACTAAAGGCACACTTGCCCCATGTAATGACCTGTTTATTGCATATGTTCGACAGCAAATCGACGGCCATTTTTTGTGTTGCTGTTGTAAATTATGAAACATGCGCAGACGTTCTGCCGTTACTGGACAACAGGTGCGTGATGACCGGTTATAGCCTCAATATGGGATTTTGGCACACTTGGCAAGTGCGCTAATATGATTTATTGGCACACTTGCTCAAATACTCATTTTTATTAATAATTATAGTAACATATGCAATAGATGGATGTACATGATTGGTTGACAATGACAGGTTAAGTATTTAATGACTTGTTGAGGATAACAATTGTCCACAATTATTGTCTGGTTTCCAAAATACGAAGGATCGGGACTGAAGAGTTGTTTTTTTTAAACAATACAAAAAGCGCTGAATCTGGTTAATAAATTATTAAATTTACACCTTTCTTTATTTACATGATTTTATTTGAAAGCTGCAAAAATTGCAAATATTTTCATGTCATGAACTTTCCCACTTAAAAAGTATGTCATCAGTAAACCAATGTCTTAAACAAATGAAAATTACAAGATGCCCAGTGCAGTACACCTTATACATGAATTCTCCATTAATATATGTTAGAAATAATATGATATTTTTTTTGTAGGATCATATAATACTGTATAACAGCATTTAGATGTTTTGTTATTGATCACTCACACTATCATCTTCTAACTGTTTAACTGAAGCAAAGCAAATGCCAAACAAAATGTTAATAATTGATTGAATTAGTATGAAATTCAAGTTTCAAGTTGGAATGCATGCTACTTAGAAAATGCATGAGCCCACATATACATTAACTTCTACTAGCACATTTCTAGAGTTGTTTGCGCAATATTTTTACAATAAATATATGAGAAAAATACAATAATAACTAAGTAATACATTTAGTACTTTGAGACTGATAGTGATTGCATAATATAAAATACCCACATGTATCAACTGGTGAATAAAATTGTCTCTACATAATACTGCTGGTGAACAAATAATGTGAAAACATTTAACTATAAGGCTATCCTTAAAAAAAATCTTTGGGTAAAATTTTAACACTCTACTCATTGAAAAATCCTGTGACAAATTAGACAATCTTTTTTTGTGATTTGCTTATTTAAAAAGCTCACAAATGAATTTTTTCTCGGGTCATTTTGAAAATGATTTGATCATTAAAGAACAATTGGCCATATTTTTTTAGTCATTTTGACTTGAAATCTTCTCCAATTGAAGTACAAACTTAAAGAAACACACTTACTGACAGTTAAAGATTTATATTGCACTTTCATATGTAATTAATTGTATTGTGACATAATATATCCTATGTTAATGCCACTTAATGCCAAATAAAGATCACCTTTTGTTACATTATAACCAAAACCCATGTGTTTTTTTTAAGGATGGCCTTACCATACAAAATGTGATACATACAACAAACTAACTGTAAGCTGACTAACTGACTACATTATGTGCAAATAAAGACAAGACAATTCAATTACACATACTTTTTCATTGACCTCTCATATATTACCAAAATATATTCAAATTTCAATACAAAACAAAACAAAGTACATAGTATCATAATATTTCTTCAGAATTTAAATATGGGATATATTTCAGTTAAACGTGATATTATTTTTTTTTAAATTAATATTTCATAAATCTAAGAGTGAAATATAGAGATTTCTTAATGTCATGTCATGTTACTGGTGAGTAACAATACATTTATATTATAAATTCAGTTTGTCTAAAAGTTTAGTATACATTCTACATTTCTAAAAATTGCTTAAAATATAAGCTATTTTAATACAGCTTTTTTACAGATATCTCTACTGAAAAAGAAATGATCAAATTATTCAGCAAAGTCTGTCCTACCAATT